CAAAAAACGGCCTTTCTCCACCATTTTCATGGGCTATAGCAAGGCAAAATGGTCAGATTTTGCCCAAAGAACCGGCCTCAAACATTGGGAACGGAAGAGGAAGTCGATACAATCATCAGGTTGACAGCCGTGACCAAAAACTCAATTCACGAGTCTATATATAGGAAAACCAGCCTATGCGCATTGGAAAGTCCCCGAAAGTGATACCACATTGTCGGGCACGCTTAGTAGGCCCAAGAAACGCTCTTCGACCTGGTCTAAGCACCCGTTTGGACCTCGAATCGGCGTTTTCTTGCTGGTTCGACCCCTGGAATGCCACGAGGTTGAATCGGGACCGATAAGTCCACACCAGCTGGCTGCATCAACCTCTATGCAGCATCCGGTGAGATGGAAGGTGTTATCAGACTGTCACCACTGGCTACACCCTCTGGGTGCCACTGGAACGTGGTGTTTCGGCTCGGTTCTGCGGCAGGGGAGGTATCCAACGCGCATAGGCTGGTTTTTCCTATATATAGACTCGTGAATTGAGTTTTTGGTCACGGCTGTCGAACCCTGATGATTGTATCGACTTCCTCTTCATGTTCCCAATGTTTGAGGGGCCGGTTCGTTTTGGGCAAAATCTGACCATTTTGCCTTGCTATAGCCCATGAAAATGGTGGAGAAAGGCCGTTTTTTGAAAGTCCCCGAAAGTGATACCACATTGTCGGGCACTTTTCCGGGATCCAAAAAATGAAAACCCACTTGAAAATCGCAGTACTGAAACCACGTAGAATTCTACAGAGCATCAACAGCATCAACACTTTTTCGAAACCGACCATTGCCGCACCTCAAGAGCATCCTCTGCACCTCGACAGCACTCCTCCGTACCTCTGCTGTAACAGGCAAGAGAGAGGAGTTGAAGGTTCAGCTTCGGTAGCCAGGAGTACTCTTTTTCAGTAGGAATCGACCGGTCACCGACGCTCGACCGTCAATCGATCGTTCTCGCCCGTTTCGACACAAGGGCGGCTCCAGTCAGTTGCAGGGTATCAGAGATTGAGAAAGGACCTTAGTAAACAACACAGGAAAAGCATCGCTCCAAATTCTTGAGCCCAACAATAGACCGAAAGCGCCATTGTCAAGTCGATTCGTATCCACCAATCGAGTCCTGAATCGCGAGTCCCGGTCACCAAGTCATTCCAGTCACCAGTTACCAGTCCCGGAATCGATTCGTTCGATCCAATCGATTCGTTCGATCCAATCGATCCGATTCGATTTGCTTGGTCGAGTGCGGTCGATAGCAGCACCAGGTCGCGACAAGCTTGCACCACCCTCTGAAAGGCGAACGACCGATGTGTTGTACGAAACCTCTCATTGGGCTCACGTTTCATCGGAGTCTAGGGAGGTTGGTCACGCGAAGGTTAATCTCCGATCGGAAGGAAGCACAAGTCCCGTACCGGATGCCAGACGACACGTTGCAGCTCCTCCTAGCCCTAGCTCTATCCATCTTGACGACTCTGTTCACTATCTGGATAGCGTTAGCACAGGAAGCTCCGCCACAACTCGGTGTTCGCCAAGGAGACGCACTAGGCCCTGCAGAGTGGTTGGCAAGACAAGAGTTTCTCGCAACCCCTATCGCACGACAGCCATCCACAGAGAGTGAGGATTCCCTGGAAATTGTCGATTGAAGCCAGCACACGGAAGCTTCGCCAGAAGCCACCAGTCGGCAAGCCATCCAGTGCACAAGCCCTTTCTCGGAACGAAGCTGCAGACTGTGACTAGCCACGCGGGGAGCACCCAATTACGCTCGTAAAAAAGGAATACAGGCCCCTTACGCGGAAGCCCTGGCGTTTTTTTTTCGGAGTTATCAAGCACCATCTGTGACTATCCTGCGGGGAGCTCCCAATTTGCTCGTAAAAAAGGAATACAGGCCCCTTACGCGGAAGCCCTGGCAAAATTTTCGAAGCCACATCAACCACCAGCAAAACCCCAACAAGTTCCGCCATGGCAACCGCCAAGAAAAAGGTGTCAATGGGGGGGGTCAATTCTAAAATCCAATTCGAACTCAACCACCCGCCAACTTCCCAATGGTTCAAATTACAGGAACAGTTCAAGAAACAACAGATCACACTGGAGCCCTTCACAGCGAACATACACAAGGACCAACACAACCAAATGGGCATGATTCAACAATGCGAACGGTTCATTCAGCTGCTCATACAACACACCTCGGAAAGAACACCCCCTGACGTTCTACGATGGCAGGAGATCCTCCCCGACCTGAGCAGACAGAAACGAGAGATTCTGCCCACGAAAGAATCTGATTCGGCCACCTACAAAGAATTTAAACCGTTTGTGATTTTCGTGGCAAGAATGGTCATCACCAACCCGTCAGTTTTTGGCAAGGACTTCACCCCCATGGGCAACACAGGCACCATTGATGAAACCAACATTAGCCAACTATGGCTGGCAACACAGTATCGGTATGGCAGCAACTGGCAATTGTATGTGCAAAACATCGAATGGGATAGGATTCAGAAAAAGACGCAAAAACCATTGAGCGTCCTCCAATCTCTAGCTAGTACAAGCCACCTCGCACCAATCCCAACCAAATAGCCAAAAACAAAACGCGGCCAATGAATCATGTCACCTACTTCGAGATCCAAACCACCTGCCAAGGCCCAGCAGACGCCAGCGAGAGGAACTCGATAGCACAAACAAGGATTTCAAAATTCCTAGATGTACTTCTCTATGGTGTGAACGCAGGGGACAAAGATGCTCGAGTAGTGCACATCGATCCAAAAAAAGTCAAGGACACAGCCACTGAAACGTCCTTTGGGGTCCTTATCAGCAAGCAGAAGATAACCCCCATCGGAGAATGGAAAAAGAAATCAGTCGAACATCACAAGGAACACCACTTTCCAGGCTGGTGGGTGCCCACATGGACCAACAGAACAGAGACGGTGACTGTACGTTTCCGTGTTAAACACAATGCCGACCCATACTTCTTAGCCGAGGTTATCGAACGAGAATCGGACAATACTGACTTCCCAATGTCAGTGCAGGTTAGTCACATCCAGGGACCATCATTGGCACATGCAGGCTGGCTTTACAAAAGCTACCCAAAAAGCACCAACAAACAAGACCTGCATAAGGCCATTGTCAACATGCTGCCACCAAGGTACAGCAAACTTCAGTTCGACCTGGTGGCTGCCAAGATTTCTCATTTCCCAGATGTTGTGATGGATCAGGGCTCAGCCATTCATGTAGTCTGCGATGCCCGAGCGGTCCGACAGTGCCAACGAGCCTTCAATGAAGTCCTGTACCACCCGCGACGGCTAGATGGGTTCCCTTTGGACAGAAAGTATGTCTTTATTCCAACGGTAGAGGCAACCAGGAACCTGGCATGTGTCCGATCACACTTGGAGGATGTTCATGCACGCCAACTCCAGTTCGAGGCAGAGGTTGAAACTATGGTTGTGTCGGATCTAATCAAATTCCTCGATGATACTCTGACCGGGAAGTTCCCCTACACACTACGAGAATTCATTATGGGAATCATTAACCCTTTGAGCAGCACGGACCGCCCAATGTTCCTGGCCATTGACAGCTACGCAACAGACTCGACACAACATGTTTTCACCTACTTCAAAAAAGATTCTGATACAGCAAAGACAGTGATCGCCCAGCTTCCTCTGCTTGTCATCCGTGCAGCCAAAACACAGGCAGTTTTCCAACTATTTTGCGAGGGCACGGAAGAGGAGATGAAACAGAGTTTCTTTCGCGCCGCCAACGGTGACACCTTCCCTATAGAGGTGGCAGTGTTCCAAACGATTACGGATACATTTGCGGCCCTACACTCGGACGATGAACTCAGCCTTGGTGGAGCTACCCCACCAAACCAGGAAGAAGGCGAGGATGCGGACCAGGCAGAAAGCCGATTCCAAGACCGCATGGCCCAAGCTATGCCTTTTCAGCCAGAGGACGTTGTGGTTCGAGTACATGGGAAACTGATCTCAAGCTCCCGCGAAGAATGGGACCGGGCCAGGACAGCGAACGAATCTCTTTGTTCGTTGGCCACGGGATCTTCTACGGTGTGCGATATTAGTACTTTCTCGGTTGACCCCCCCACCCCGGAAGGGGCGACACCAAGTCCCATGGAGGAGGAAAAAGTGGACCCACACCTCTGGGAATCCATGCCATTCGTACTGAAAGCATGGCAGGGCACCGAGACCAGAGCGGCGGTTGATTCTTTCTGTGCAGATTTGACCACAAACATGTTGGCGCGAACGGAACCGTTGACAGCCAAGGAAAAAGCAACCGTGGATGAATTTTTGCTAGAAATCATCTACCAAAAAGGCACCACACATGAAGCCCAGGATTATCTCCGGGAAGCTGGCGAGAAAGGTATCTCACACCTCCAGGAATCACTCAAGAATCTGGACAAAACCCCGTGGCTGAAACACTCATTCATCCTTGGCGAAGACAACCATCGAGACGATTGCTTGCAACAATGGTATACTGCATGGATACAAAAGAAACGGCTGGCACCACAGGATCCAAGACCCAAACACTTTGATGGGAGCGTCACCTGTCTCCTCAGTCGATACCAAGCGGAGACATGGCCCATGCACAGAGTAGCGGACGAGATCAACAAACTCGGGGTCGCAGGTTTGAGGGCACTGGGACAGCACCCAAACCAAGTCAGCCCTGAGAACAAGGGACAGGATAAGCAGCCGTGGCTAACACATGCTTTCAACGTCAGACAATGGGATGACCCATCTACTCAGAATGTTCTAGCTGCTTGGAGGCACGACTTCGTTACTAAGACCAATCGGAATCCGATGAAGCCGCTGGAGGTTGCCAAATTCGATGCTTTGATCAAGTACAGCTTATGGTCTATGGGCAAAACACCCAACACCATCACAGAGATCCAACGCATGCTTGACCAGGGACAGTCACAGATGGATCTGAAACTGAAGCATTTCAATGGACAACCATGGACTTTACCCCGCTACCTCGATCCCAGCACCAGAACCACTGCAGACACCTATCAGTGGTACAAGCATTGGGCATCAAAGATAGCAGACATCACGGCTAAACCCAACACACCAGATACATTTGTCAGAACCACCGAGTACTTCCTCAGTCTCCATGGAGATAAGGATAACCCCCTCAAAGCTGCCCATGCGGAGCTGGAAAAACTTATGACATTCTCGGCTTTGAAGAAAATCACCCAACATCCCTCACCCAGAAAGTCCGGAGCGGCCAACACAACCAAGTAATGAACACAGGAGCAAAACAACGCCGGATCAGCCACAGAGGACTCGGTCACGGCTCGAGCGCGCGAGACAAAAGTCTCAGTGCGCTAAAAAGAAAAAGCCACAAAAAAACCAACCACCACAAACACCACCTACACCAAAAATTTGCTACAGAAACAGAACTACAGGGACCCTCCATCTCAGCCAATCACTACCACTTAATCGACGAGGCTCAACCGGCCTTCGGGGACACGCTGGGGCCCAAGCCGATACAACACCTTCGCTTCATCCTAGCACAACACAACGGGGGTCCCAAAACCCGATTCTCTTCACGAATCAAACATCTCAATGATCATATCCAGGAGTTCACCCCAGATGTGATATTGAGCACCGAAACCGGACAGAACTGGAAAAGACACACACCAGAGGAACAATGGTCCGAACGCATATATTGCACCCGGAAGAAGAAAACAAGAACATCTTCCAACCAACATCATCAAACTACAGACTCACAACTAGCAGGCGGAACCGCCATCACCATTCTGAATGAAGCAGTCCCCAGAACTCCTACCTTGGAATCAGACCCGAGTGGCTTGGGAAGATGGACATCAGCCAAAATCTGCGGGAGAAGTAATCATGTTACCCGTGTGGTCTCTGCCTACCGTCCAGTCAAAAACATGCGGGATGATGGCTCAACCTACAGACAACACATGAACTACTATAGGGAACAGGGACGGCATCAGTGTGCAAGGTTACTGTTCCTAGAAGACCTCAGAGACCAGCTGGCAGAATGGGCAGCCCTGGGAGATGAACTGATTGTAGGTCTGGACGCCAATGAGGATGTCAGAGACGGCGCCGTCAAAGACATGTTCTCCTCGCTGAATATGAGAGACGCAGTTCTATCACGACATGGAAATAACCCACCCGAAACTATGAATAGGAACAGCAACCAAGAGCCGATCGATGCCATCTTTGTGTCCCGGGGGATCAACATCTCAGCAGCTGGCTATACTGATTACGGAGACTTCATTGATTCTGATCACCGCTCGGTGTGGATTGATGTGCCCTTCACATCAGTGCTCGGACACAACCCACCGAACTATGCAAAAAAGAAACCTGAGAAGCTCAAACCAGATGACCCAAGAGTGCGGGACCGCTACATCATGCTGGTTAAGAAACGATATCGTCATTTTGACAATTTCGTACCAAAGCAAGCAGCTTATGTGGAGTCACTTCTGGCCATGGGAGCTCCACTGCAGGTGATTGTGGCCGAACATGACAAGCTTGTGGTGGCTGATTTTAGAGCTCGAATGTGGGCAGCCCAACGCTGCAGGCCAATCTACACTGGTCTCCATGCATGGTCCCCCAAGTGGGCTCAAGCAATCTAAAAGGGTCCTGGTTCTAAAAAGTCGGTACCGAACAGTACGGAAACCCTACCTGGTCCGGAAGATGAAGGGAGCCGGGGTTCCATTTGAGGCTTTGCTTTGGGAAACGTTCGAAGTCAGGAAAAAACGGGAGGAGGCAAGGGAGCAGTTTCGAAAATGCTGCCGCGATGCCGACTTGTTTCGCACCGACCATCTGGAGACACTGGCAGCCGCCAAAGCAAAGGATAAGGGAACCACAAAAGCAGGCGAACTTAGAATGCTCAAAAGCTCCAACAAGGCAAGGGAGATTGGGCGCAACGTCCGCACTGCACTCGGAAAAAACAGCAAAGGTCTGGCAACCTCCCTCCAACGACCACACCCAACTGGCGAAGGCATGGAAATCTGCGACACTCAGACAAGTTTGGTCGATGCAAGTATTGATGAAGCCACCGCACGCTTCACCCGAGCAACTGACATTTCCCCATTCATGACAGACCCCCTCCTGTCGGAAGTGGGACCAATGGCAGAACTCCCAGGAGCTGACGAAATTTTAGCAGGCACCTTTGAATGCCCCCCCGAAACTGATCAATACACACAACTTCTCATTCAGCACCTAGCCACACCTCCTGAAGTCATGGCGGCTGGAGACATCCCTCTGGATATCCCACTCAAGGAACACCAGCGGGCATGGAAACAGCAGAATCACCACACAGCAGCTGATCCACGAAACCTGAGCTTCGCACATCACAAAGCAGGGGCTCACAACTAGAGCATCAGCCAAGTTGACACCACCATCCGGTCAGCCCCAATCCAAGCAGGATTCAGCCCCCCCTCTTGGGAGTTCATGTCAGATTGTTCTATTCCCAAAAAGGCCAACAACCTCTTAACTTCAGCTATGAGAATCATAGTTCTCATGGCGGCCCTCTTCAACATGAACAATAAGATGATCGGCAAGAGGGTGATGGAAAGAATGGAGGATCTCAGACTCATGGTCCAGGAACAAGCGGGAGGGGGCCGAAAAAATCACCAGTCTGCTCACCAGGCCCTGAATAAGGTTTTGAGTAGTGACATCTCCGGTTCAATCGACAGGCGGGCTCTTTTGCTGTAACGATGCCATCCAATGCTACGATAGAATAGCTCCCTGTGGCTATTCT